GGGGTGGGGGGGATAGATTAAACGAACAAAGCGAGAAGGCCCAACAGCCCGAGGAGCTTGGACGCGACGAGAAAGAGAGCGAGTTTTCTAGGGAGCGGAGTTGCGGGAGATGTTGAGGAGGAGGGGGAGGGGGTTTTCATTCCGGGCGCACTAGAGCAGCGACGGAGGAGGTCAGTGGGGCTCGGGATCTCAGTGACAGTATCAGACTTACGTGGGAGGATCGGGCGACGAGCTGTTGACGATGCTCGGGTCACCGACGATGAGCGCGCACCCTGTGCAAGCTGTCGACAGGCCGGGATGGAGGAAAGCCATCATGATCAGCACCTCATGTCATTTTTGTTTTCTCTCAGGGGGCTTGGGATGGAAGGACTGGGACGACTCACTGGCTTCGCCCTCCGGGATCCCTTGGCAAACAAAGGTGCCTTGTTCATTGACGCAGACTGTAAGTCATGTTCCGGGCATCGAGAAAGTTCAGCACGTGCCATTTACTTTTGAAGGTATCTTTCTCCATCGTTTCCAGAGGAAATACCACCAACCTCCGCGATCCAGACTGGGCTGACTGTAGCTGATCGTGCACATCAGCTGGACTGCTTGAGTCGAAGGGTCGCCCTCTTTCTTGCATTGGCTTGCCACTATCAAAACACATGAGAGTAGCCGGATGGAATCAGGGGACACACGCACAATTCATTGTCTAGGTCATTTTATCCAGATAAAAAAAGGACGCACCGATTGCTCCTGTACAGCCTCCTGAGCACACTTGTTTGCGGTCATCGTTACAAGCTGCAGAGAGAAGGATTTAAGGACCGGGGTAATAAAACATGCAAGGTAGTCTCTTTTAATATGAAGGAATGGCCTCGGTGCTTACTAGGGTTAGGACCTTTGATGCCGGAATAGCGTGTGCACTTGAGGGTGTTTCCGCCGCCGGACGTGGGGGGAACACTAGTGCTGCCACTACTACTGCTGCTACGACTGGAGTGCGGACTGGAGAGGGATGTTGTGACCAGACCTAATACGAGGACGCAAATCGTTGTACAACTCATGATCGAATACCGCATATCGCTTAAATTCTTTCTGCTTGCTGGAGGAAATTCAAAATGGATAATAATGCGAACAAATGAGGCTTGAGAGGCGGAGGGGAGAGAGAGCAAAGGGGTACGAAGAACAGTCTTTGACATAAGAAGCTTTTCAAGAGAGATGCTTGTGAAGTAAATGTGTCTGTGTTGGATGGGAGCAGCGGCAGATTGAGTCAGAATCTATCGCTTGCTGGCGACCCCTACATAGCGGACCATAGAGCATGTGTCCTTGTTGTGGTACACTAGAAGTCAAGAGTGTTTCTAGTTCAGGGAAGTTCTTCGCGCGTCACTTCTCTCTGAGTTTGCCAGTTCTCTCCACACCCACTGATTCTGATAGCAAAACATGGAGACGCTGGCCAATCTGCCGACGGCTCGCTACAAAAAACAGAAAAACAGAAACGCGCTCTTCTCTATCAGTTGCACTCTGGAGTGTGCAGCCAGCATGCAGATGTCTTTAGGCCGAGTCACGTCGGAAGGATGTGTGTATCCCTTTTAACCAGTCTCAGAGTTCGTCCTTTCCCTTAGTTGTGGTTTTCCAAAAGAAAGTGCCCGTCAGATAAACTCGATTGCCGAACCATTCACACACAGAGCGCCCCCGTACGCCGGTCGTCCGGACGATTCACAAGTATTTGTAAGAGCTTCACAAGGTGCGCCTTTGACCTCGACAGAAGAGGAGTCGTCTGCTCATCTCAGTCGGGTATATATCTCCGCTTCAATCCATGTGATGTCTGGTGAGAGTGCATCAGACCGAGAGCCATAACTTTCCGGCGAGGAATATGTATCTCCACCACACGCAGATCATACACTTGAGTGCCAAATATTCCAGTTGATGCTCAGGTGAATCAGAGCCGAGGTGGCGATTGTCAAGTCGAGCGAAATGCTCCAACCTAATTGCGATCAAACATTTGGTGTCTGATTGGAAATAACGGCGTCTGGGTTCTACCATGTAATTGGTGCCTCACCCATCACAGATGTGCCGAGCAAAGAGGCACGTACCAGGGAACTTGTTTTTTTTACATCATGAGCAACGAACTTGATCATTTCAAAAGAAAAAAAAAAACCAAAGGTATTTCAGCACAAGAGAAAGAGAGAGAGAGAGAGAGAGAGAAAGAGGCAAAAAAAAGAAAGTGATATAGGATGAATTCAATAGGATAGCATCATCAAGAAAAGAAAGAAAGATAAAAGAGACAAAGACTTGTTTAGCTAGCTTCCTTTTTCTTTTCTTTCTTCTTCTTTTTACCCTCTGATTTAGATTTCTCCTTGGTCATAGATACGTCGGCATCTAGCGAGATGTCCGCCTGAGAAGTTTCGTTGGCATCCGACTATGCAAAAAGAATTAGTACCAGTGATTAGCA